CCATGAAGCCGCAGCCGCCGGGCTAGGCCCGGGGCGGCTCCAGGCCTGGGCGGCCCGCAGAGGGCTGAGCCCGTCCCCGACTCCGGCTCTCGGGGCGGCGGGTCACCACTCACCATGCCCGGCAAGCACCGGCATTTCCAGGACCCTGAAGTCGGCTGCTGCGGGAAATACTTCCTGTTTGGCTTCAACATTGTCTTCTGGGTGAGCGCGGGGTCCGCTTCGCGCCCTGCGCTGGGGAGGGGGACGAGGCAGCCTCAGTTTCTTGGGCGGGGAGACCCTCCTCAGGAGCTTGCGACCGAGGACTGTCCCCGACCCCTTCCACCCCAATTTTCAGTCCCCAAGAACTACTCTCGGGGAACTAGGGGCGGGACCCAGTCCCAGAGGCGGGGGAGGGGGAGCGGGGGGTTTGGGAGTCTCGCGTTGCAGCCCCAAGTTGGGGCGAAAAAGGGGGCGGCGTTTGCCGGAAGACTGCAGGGGCGCGGTAGTTGCGGGATGAGCCCCGCCCAGCCCCGCCTCCTGGCCACTCCTGCTACCGGCGGGGTGCGTGAGGTTCCTGAGGGTCTACCTCCACGGACTAGAAGCTTGTGAACCAGGAGGGCAGGAAGTGACAAAAATCGGGGCCTCTGGGACTGCAGACAGAAGGAGCTCCGGTTGAGAGCAGGGAGCTGTCCCTTGGGAACAGAATTCAGCATTCCATTGCTGTGGGAATGCTTCCCTCCCGGGTGGCATCTGTATCCGGTCCCTGCCAAGTCATCTTTCTTTTCTTCCTCCCCCTCCTATTGCCAAAGCGGGCTCTGCATGCTCTCCTTCTCGCCAGGCCTTTCCGACTTGTTTCCAGCAGGATTCAAGGACTCTTCTCCACCCACGTGCTGCCGGTTTTGCCCTGTGGTGGGTGCCTTGGATCACAGCAGTCTTCTGCTCTGGAGGGTATGGGCAGCTGCAGGGTGCACTGCCCTGGAAGTCAGAGGGCCTGAGTGTAACAGGCCTTGTCCAGAGGCCTTGGGGCAAGCCAGCAAGCCACCTTTACTCTCTGGGCCTCCTCTTTCCAACCTGGGACTGGGTGGCATTGGAGTTTGTCCTTCTTGGTTGTTAAATTAAATAATAGTTTTTGTTGTTGGGACATCAACAGCAAAAGCCCATCCTGGCCCAGAATTTGCTGCAATTTTCCCGTGTGAGCTTCCTGAGTGCTGGGATTTACGGTGTGAGCCATCACAGCGAGTTTCATGTTGAAGGAGTTCTAATGAGGCACAGTCTCCCAACTACCTTATTATTATCTGTAGTTTACAGATGGGGGGGCTGAATGACTAGATGCCAAGAGGTTAAGTCATTTGCTGAGAGTGACAGATGCCTATCAGTGATTGGAGAGGCGGAGGCTCACACTGCAGTAACCCTGAGTGTGTGCCTGTTGACTGACAAATGTGATAGTCCTGGCTTTGTTCTGAGGTCTGGGCAGGGGAGTGGAGGTGGGCAGAACATTGAGGTCCTGTGCTTGGGCAGCGTGGAGCAATCGATGCTTCAGAGCAGAACTGGATCAGATCTAGCTAACTGTGGGTATATGGAAGGGTGACAGAGGACCTGGAAATGGGAAGGGGTCTGGGCCCTTGAATTCCTGATGTTCCGCCTACCAAGTGTGGGGATTATAGGTCTGTACCACTCTTCTGGCTCCACCTATGCCATCTGGACACCAGCTACAGGTTCTTCATCTGGGCAGCCTGTGTTCCCTTCATCACCTCACTCTTTTTCATTATCTTGCCTCAATTCCTGGCTTGGAGAGCCCTGACTGTCAAGGCCAACTACCCTCTCATCCCTGACCCTGGGCCACTCCCTGGACACAGCGGTCTTTGAGGAGGACACACCATTAGAGTAGAGTGAGACTATCCACTCTCCACCTCTGTCCACCCTTTCCTTCCCTGGTCCTGAGTTCTGTCCACCGCTGGATTCTCCCTGGAAATGCCTTTCCAGTGCTGTGTCTGGGGACGTGCAACCAACATCACTTCTCTGGCCCCTTCCCATCTGATCTGTCTCATCTTTGGACAAGAGAGCAGCTACTGTTTTGTTCCCCCAATCATCTCCTTGTTCAAACCCCATTTTTCCTCTTGCTCCTTTTCTGACTCCCCGCCTCCTGCTTGGTCTCCATCTGCCCCAATTTGCCCTTCGCACTGGGCTCCAGCCTTAACCTCTTGTTTTCCTTCCTCTCCACAGTCATTTCAGCTTGTTGGGACACTGGCATCCCCCTGGCTCCAGATCCTCACATTGCCCCTCCTGTATCAGACACCTCAGGGTCCCAGGCAGTTGTTAGCCCTGTGAGCACACCGGAGAAAAGGCTCTGGGCCCCATGTTGCTGATCCCTATAGAGAGGAAATATTGAACAAATAAACAGATATTCAGATGGCTGGAGAGAGTGATGTGATTTAACTGTGGTTTGAGTGGCAAGGAGGAATGAGACGGAGAGAAGGTTCTGGATAGAACACCCAGAAAAGGCTAAGATCCTGTGGTCATCTTCAGCTACATTGTGAATTGGAGGCCAATCTTGACTATGTTGAGACCCTTTCTTAAAAACACCAAAACCAAAACAAAGGCACAAGTATACCTGAGACCAGATCCTTTCTGAGCCAGAGGGATCTCTCAATGTGGAGAGAGTCCAGGAAGGGGCTGATGTCCAGTCTGAGGCTTGGGGTGGTGTCAGTTCCTCTAACCAGCCTATGGGAAAGACTCCCTGAACAGTGTCCTAGGTAGATGTACCACCAAGTCCCATTCGCAGCCTGGACACGTCTTCCCCAGTTTCCTGATGCTCTTCAAGGATGGGATGTAAGGGAATCAGTCCTGGTACTGGTGTCCAGTTCTGACCTCTTGCTGCCTTTGCAGGTGCTGGGAGCCCTGTTCCTGGCCATCGGCCTCTGGGCCTGGGGAGAGAAGGTAAGAGAGTGGGGCCTAGGGGCAAGCTGAGAGGGTGGTCACTCCCTCATTGGTCCACTCCCCTGTTGCAGGGTGTTCTCTCCAACATCTCGGCGCTGACAGATCTAGGTGGCCTTGACCCTGTGTGGCTCTTTGTGGTGGTTGGGGGAGTCATGTCGGTGCTGGGCTTCGCTGGCTGTATTGGGGCCCTCCGGGAAA